CACACACACACGCAGGACTGTCGCTGGTGTCCGCTCTGCCATTATCATGCGCCAAGTTGTTTGTCACCTGCCTCCTCGATGCGTCCGCGGCTCCTCCTTCCGCTTTATCAGCCATGCTTTTCGGTGCAGGAGAATGCGCCGTTGTACCGCCACCATCAGCGCCTTCTATTGGAGCGACAGTCTGAGCTCCAGGCTGGGGGCCTCGGTTCTCATTCGACGACTCCGCAGCACCTGCAGTGGGGCCGCTCATGCCCGGTTCCTCCTTGAGTCCCAACAGCAACGCAGCACTCTGGGCAGCCTTCTCGGCGTACGTCAGCGCCGCGGCGGAGTTGCTGAGCGCATTCTCAGACTCGTCCAAAGCCTTCTTCTCCATCTTCTCCGCCTCCTCAATGGCCTCCACCAGCTTGTCCCACTCGTTATCATTATCCCCGCTTCCTCCCGTTCCCGGTGTGGCATGGGCGCGTCGCATTGCTTCTGTGGCGCTGCTTTCCGCACCCCAAGAGGACCCGTGTGCCAACGCCGCATTGTCTCGTGCTGCTTCAGTGCTGCTAATGGCACGTGAGAAAAATGTCACCATCGCCTTTCCTTCTGCTGATCCCCGCGCGGCGAGGTCGGCTGTCTTTTCTTTTGTTTTTGCCAATGCGTTGCCCAATATGCCTTGTGATGACGTGATAGCATGCACTGCATCCGCCACTCCAGCAAGCGCCGTGGACGCCATCTCAGCTGCCGATGAGGATGCACTTTGGGCTGTAAGCGATACTGAAAGTGTTTCACTCGCCAGAGCAATGACACCCGCCGTCCCCACCGATGCCACTGATACCTTCACGGTATCCCTCAGCCTAACTGCTGCCTGGTGCGCACCCTCCGCTGCGCTCTTGCCAATCCCCGCCTGACTCTTGAACGCGTCAACACTCTCCACTGCCCTGCCCACCGACTCGTTAACGGCACCCGCCACCGCCTTGGCGTCTCGCAGCGGGGCCGTCGACTGCGCCGCCACCCCTTCAGGCGGAGCAGCGGCGGCAGTCACGCAGAAGAAACTGCGGCACAGCA